CTTTATTTTGAAGATGTCTTCTCTTTGAAGGCCGGAGGCTCGGATTCAGTGGAACGCCTTCAGAGGTGTTGCCCGCCAGCAGGACGCCAAGACTCCAAGACCTTCTTTTTGGCTAACGGCGACTCGAACAACTTTATACTCCAAGTCTCTCTGACAGTGTTTTTATTATTGCAAAACCAGGCTTTGACGTGTTAGGTTAGAAGGCATAGAAAGCGTAGAAAGCAAGGCATGGGCATAATCCACTACGAGCACGGGTGCGACGCCAAAATCCTGAGTACACTGCTCAATTCAAAGGCAGGGTCAATGAGGGGTTCAATACATGACAAGATGCAATTGGAATAAGGGGCTTGTGCTTTAATCCCGAGCACCTATTTAAAAAATAGAACTCATGCCGGAGACCTCTAAATACGGTCTACAGTATATTTGTGGTTAGATTGCCGCCCCTTAAAACCGCTACCAAACGACCAACATGGCCTTTTCAAATAGGTTCCCAAAAACTCCCTCAAAATCAACCATGTTGCTGAGGCTGGGTCCACCCCTGGGGTCGTCCACCGTTGTCCAACCGTTGTCCCTCCACCCCTCCACTGGCTGCCCTCTCTCGTTTCGGCTGTCTAGCAGACTGTCTGTCTGTCTGGCACTGGGCAGGTTGGTATCCTCTTGCCCCAATCCTACAAACATGCCGTGGTTTAACTATATTTATATACGTATACAGTTACTTGACCGTGGCTAGACTAAAGGGGACTTAGAGGATATCAACCTGCCCTGCCTCTCTAGCTGCCTAGTCTGCCTGGCGCCTGGCGCATGCCACGAAATCTGCAATTTATATGCACTTATATAATCAATGATTCAAGGATCCTCCCACTGACCCTATTTTGGACAACCGCCATTTCAGGGACCCCCCATTTAAAAATATGCACCCGAGTTTTTGTTAATGGGGGGGATTACTGACTTTTGGAAAGCAAAGCAAGGCCCGAACGACACATCCGTTGCACCTGTAGTTTTATGGTTCATTTTCGTGATGGTTTTTGAATTGAATTTGTCATTCAACAATAAGTTGCTGCTGAAAAGAAGGAGGAAGCATCCCTAACAGTGTAAAGTTCTTTGTAACTGATGCCTAGCGTGCTCATTTTTACAGAGAATGTGCAAGTATTCTGCAGAAGTCAGCGCAGATGCTGCAGGTCGTCACTAGAACGGAGACATTGCCATTTGGGTGGGTGCGCCAGCCTGCCTCAGCAGTACTACAAAGCTGACAAGTGCATTGGAATTTGAGCCGCAGAGCGTTGGGCAGGACCCAGTGTGGCTTCTAAAAAGAGCCTCGCAGGGCGACTTTCATGCGCCGCAGTCACAGTGATTGCACATGTCTCCATGAAAACTTGCAAGAATCATGAAGCAGAACAGCAGAGTTGCCTTTTGGTAGACAAATCTTTGTTGATGTGGGACTTTAGATGACTTGATTATGATTTTATATGATTACATTGGAATCCGTTTGTCAAAAAAGGTCGGGCCCTCTTTTCAGATGACAGGCTCCTGTGAATCCAAGGCTGATCGATGCTGGAGCACTAATAGTTGGCTTCTCAAATCTCGCTGCAGAGTGCTCAGAGTGGAGGCCAAACAGCACAGATCATCTCCAAAGACAACGCATGGTTTTACTCCTTAAAGAATCATTTGAAGCCTATAATACACAACTTCGTGTAAGCAACATAATCTGTTTGCAAGCGCACATGGTGCGTCGACGTCTCACTCAGGTTGCAACCAAGCTGCTGGAGCTCATGGCTTAGTGCTCTGACAGATCAGAGGTAAAGGAATCAGGAACATGAAGGACTTGACTTCTCTTTTGTTCTCAAAAGATTCGCAGAAAGTGAACTGGATTATGACTTCTTCCAGCAATTGAAGACTCTTAATGTAGAATGAGACACATTCCACCAGCCCCTGTGTGCCTAGACAGTTCCTTTTTTTCAGGTCGCTCCCTATGTCCTTCCTGGGTGTCGTCTTCCTGAATGAAGCAGATGAGACCGTCGTGTTGCTCCGTGTCAGCTTCTGAGCTAAATTTGCTTGTGTTTAGCTTCACTCAACTTTCAGGGCATCTCCAATTTAAGTTGTTTTCTGCCGCAGAAAGGATGCACGCATTCTCCCGCTTTCTGAATGTGGGCTTTCATCGGCACAGAGGTTTACGTCAAGAGCTCAGGTTCTGAGAGCGCCTCGTGTTTCGCTCTATCTCTCAGGGCTTTCTCCCGATTTGCCAAGTCTCTCAATTCTTCAAGGTTTTACGATCATGTCCACACTACTGGGCTTGATGTGCCACAAGCTCCGTACGCCCGCGCCGCTTTGACACTTGGCCATCGTCTCAGTGAAGCAAGGTACAAAAGTCGTTGACGTGTTGATTGTTGCAAGTTCTGAGTTTCTCCTACGAAGCTCACTTCTTCGAGACTCTATAAAGATTACTAAACTGGTAAAAACTAGACGCAAGGAACATCACTAGACTTCCGAACATATGCTTCAATCAGACTCTAGCTTCTCCACAGCGACTCCACAGCTCTCTACCCTACCGACAGTACAATGTTGCGAGGCAAAGACATGCTGTGGAGAGATTATGCGCAGGCCGGACTGCTGTGAGACGGACAGTCTGGGTCATGCGCTTGATGTCAGGCTGCCTTCAGAATGCGGGGTCTTGGCCCAGGGGTGCCGGTCACAGGTGGACTCAAGAAGGGCTAAGGACTGGCATACTTGAGTTGTTTGTAAGACACATTAAGACGCAACAAATCACACACGGCTAATTTTCATAACACTTCAATTACACATCATTGAGGCGCAAACACTCTACCTGTCAGCCACTCAGTGGAGCTTTTGCTGCTGGAACTTGGGTTTGCATGGCTGACCTCCCTTTCTCTAGCAACATTTGCATGGTGCCAAATCAATTGAGTCAAGTCTTTGCTGTCAAATTTGTACTAGAGATAGGAGGGTGATTTTAAGGAGGAATTGATGACTTTACTACTCACAATCTCTCATTTTGACACATTGCCATCGCTACTTTTGATAACTGTTCTGGTAAAATCGCTATTTTCATGACTTTTATATTGAAATCTCTCTTTTGATGAGTTTTCTATTGCATTCTTTGCTTTTGATGACTCTTCTAGACAAAATCTCTACTTGTAAGGCCTTTCCTATTGAGAACCACACAGACCACCAAAAAATAAATTCAAAAAAAAAACCGATTAAAGTCTCGACCCCTAGAGATATGACTGTTGAAGAGATTGGGATCCAACATCATTTGCTAGCCTTGCGTCAAAGCGTTTGTGTTGCTGAATATGAGTCGATCCACTAGCATCTTTATCACTCACGTGCTCCGCCAATGCAACTACCTGCTGAATTGTTTTGCTTACACAATCTTACACATGCTTGACGCCAGGTTGGTTCCTCCAGAGATACGCTACTTGATTGCTGTTTCTCAGATGCAAAGTCGACTTGAGACTGACATCGTAATCAGTTACCAAGCCATCAGCTCCACACCGAAGTGCGGACCGAATCTATGACTGTAAGGGTTTTTGTTTGAAGGTGGGGTGTGCGGATTCCGGTATAGTCTTGAAGCAAGCACGAAGCGCATTGAACGTCCTTGAGCCTTCCAATGAAAGTCACTGTTTGTTTGTTTGTTTGCTAGCTTGTTTGCTTGCTTGCCTGCCTGCTTGCAGCGAGTGTTTAGGCAGTCCTGAAGATAAGTGCAGCGCGCATCCTTGGACATCGCTGTAGAATGCAAAGCAGCTGGCAGCTACAATGACATTTCGCATCATTTTGCACAAATCACAAATGCCTTTTCCAACAAAGATCTGATCTGTAGCAGGCATAATTCAAAACATTTGTTTTCGCACTGTAGGTTGTTGGGATGGGAATCTCAAGTCAATATCCACCACCCTGGGCAACACGATCTCATCCACCTCAAGATCTTGTTTGAGCTTGAACTTGGGTGATTCGTTGATTTGCCTATGCACTGTAGTATTGATTGTTTTTGGGGGTATTTGGAATTTGCTGTTTTGAAGTCAGGAGGAAAGAGGATGGAGCTTGATCCTCTTTCTGGGTCCCCAACGAGTATCAACCAGTCACATTTGTCAACAGACGGAGTGTAGTGATACTTCTTGATTTGGAGGGTCCCTGATTTCAGGAAAGATCCACTTGCTGAACTTGAATGTAGTGAGCTTGATTCGACTTGGTGGAAGCCCTTGATGCTTGAAGGCAGCAGATGATAGTATCATCGAAGTTGGCACAAGGCCTCAGTCAAATACCGCAGGCCTGTGGTTGGCTCTCGTTTTGCTCACAAGGGGTGTCAGAGTCAAGTGTTTGTGAGACAAGAAGGCAAAGCCCAATGTTTCAGGCCATCTCTAGTAGGTTGGAGGCCATTGCTCTTCGGCTGGGGGCCACGCTATTAGCTTAAAGGCCATTTCTAGTAGGTTGGAGGCCATCGTGCTAGTATGATTGTGTATTTCAACCCTCAAATGCTTTCACCATGTGCTGGAGGTCTTTCTGCATACCAAAAATGCAAACTGAGTCTCTGAGTGATCTCTGACGGGGGGTGCAAGGTTTTTGCGTTCTCCACTGTTGTCAGGTTTGGATGCCAGCGAAGATTTGATCTCCTTCAGCCTTGACCTCACTGTTATAGTGCATATTGTGGTACCAGACAAGTACCCTGGACATATGGTTAATGTCCTTGACTTTTTCTATAGATTTTGATGGTATTTTGGTGCATGCTGGTTTGATGTTGAAGGTCCTGTTGTGCAAACACATGGATTTCCACAGCAAGCGTGGCGCCCTTTGTTGATCAAGACGCTTTGCACTTGCCGCAATTGTGCAGTCATCCTGAAAAGCATAAACCACTTGTGATCTTGTGATCTATTCTTTGACTTATATACTTGGCTCGCTGTCTTGGCGATCATTTGCCATCATCTCGCAGTGAGTCTCAACAAACACCTTAAAGACTTGTTGCAAAGGCCGGCTTTTGCTTCTGGTGGAACCGACTCCTTGACCGAGACCTGCATGCAATGTCTTGCCGTGTCCTTCGGTTGTGTCAGACTAGACTTGCTTCGAACTTGGATTGAACGCAACATGTGTTCAACATTGATTAAGGAGTTTGACTTTCTCCATCCTGGAACCTCTGGAATGTTGGCATCAACTACACAATTCCAGCGTGCGCATTGGACAGCAGCCTTGGCCAATCTTGCGATTCGTGTTTGGGTGTGTCTATATTGAGAAGCACGAGGCAGATGTTTGAGTTATATGGTGCAATATGATTATCATAACTGACAGGCTTCGCCAACCGGCGATGCCCGTGGGGGGGACTGCGCGCATGTGCTGCCCAGACATCTTTGGTGACATCTTTCATGACCACTTTCGACCGTCGAAACGGTCAAGAAAACGCCAATGTCCTGATATTGGAAGAGCTTGCTATAGAGACGCGCCGGATGCCGCCGACCCGCATTTCTAGCATGACCCGGGCTCATGTGGATTCGTAAAAAAAACGTCAAGCATTGAGGAAAGTTATCAAAAAATGGTCACTTTTGAAAAAGTAGCTTCCAAGCCTCTTGGAACATAAAGCGTTGAAAATGGATACACGCTTAGAGGAGAAGTTTTGGTCGAGCATCATTAGCATCAGCAGAGTCTCGGCAGGAAAGGTGCAAATTCTTTGGTGCACGACTAAGCAGAAAACACTGTAAACATGTATGTAGTTTATGAACAACGCTGCTCGTATTCTGGTGATGCCAATGGTGCTCGACACAGCTGCTGCCTCAAAACTTCCTCTCCTCATGGCATACTTCCTTCTCTGGAGATAAAGCTTTACAGTAGCAAGTTTTTTAAAACACGTTCCCTTTGTTTTTGTATTTTTTGAAGAACATCGTGTGTTCTGGTGATGTTCAAAATGTCGGTTTGCGGCTGACATATCTAGCACCACCTGGGCTTATATGGCTTGGCCGACCCCAGGGCAAAAAAGACACGCACAATTTGGATGGAGCAAGGAAGACAAAGACACTTGCTCTATCTTCATCTCCCGACGTACCCTCTCCCAAAGCACCGCAACGGATTCACCTGCCACAGCCTTAAACAATCTAATTCTTCACCAAAAATGACAAAAATAGTCTCCAAAGCACAGTGCCAAGCGTTGCTTTCTGATGACAGTAGAGTGTCCTCTCCTTCTCAAAGCCGTAGAGCCATTCTTGACCCTATCTTCATCTCCCGACGTACCCTCTGCTCCGGCTTCCACCCTATTCTTTTTCTTTCTATCAGTACGTAGCCTTGCGCACCCTCTCCCGAGGCACCACAACAACTTCACCCACAACAGCCTCAAACAATCTAATTCCACACCAAAAATGATCAAAAAATAGTCACCAAAGCTGATTGGTCAATGCCAAACGTTGCTTTCTGACACCAATTTCAAAAAACAGTTTTCCTTCTCCAGATCCTTCTTCTCCTTACGGCTGCCAAACATTGCCAAACCATCCTCCTCGACCCTATCTTCATCACCCAAAAATATATAGTCCCCAAAATTGCCTCGCCACATCCCTGGCAGAATCTACATATTTCCACACAAAAAAAAGCGTCCGCGCGGCCTTTGCGTGCTGCCAAACGTTGCTTCCAGACGGCAGAAAAAATCAATCTCAGGCCCGCCTGTCTAATCTGTGTTTTTGCTTGTTTGTTTGTCTCTGTTTGTCACCGATCGGTATGGCGGTCTGTCGGTCTATCGGGCTGTCCTCTATCGGTCAGTCGATCTGTCGATCTATCTGTTTTGTCAGTCAGTCTGTCAGTCAGTCTGTCACCGATTTCTCGTGCAGTGTCCTCAAGCACGCTCCCCCACCATCGGGGTCGGCGGATATTGATCATGATATTGGTGTGAAATTCATTGTTCATTTGTTTGCACTTGAATGAACAAATCTTTGGAGCTGGCCAGGAAGGTGGCGAGGAACACTGCAAGGAGCTTGCTGCCGCACTTCGCTGGACAGGTGGCCTTGCGAGAGTGGAGCCGTGCCCTGCGGACACGCAGTCTCGAGTAAAACTTTTTGTTAAAGCCCGCTCCTACTCGCTCCTATTCAATAAGTAGCCGCCTGTGAAATACTGCAAGTAAGTTTCTAGTTGTTGCAGTTTATTTAAGCTACTACCTACTGGACGCAGGATAGCTCACACAACGCTTCTTCAAGGAAGCTGGACCTGCCTGAGGGCGGGGGGGGGTTCCTTGATTCATTCGGTTCCTATATTTTAGGGAAACTTAACTTGGCACTGTCCACTCTCCCAGCCTCCATACTAGTCATACGACTAGTAGTGTCAACATGATTTAACATGCATTCCATACAACAGCTTTGGGTGCAGGACTTTCGTTTTTTCTGAGTCGTTCTTGGAAAAAGAGCTGAAACAAGAGGTCCAACAGATTCAACAGATGATGCCCCCCTACATCAACTAATGCTAATACGTCCTGTGTCAATGTCAAAGAAACAGACAATCATGTAGGACCAACAACAATGTATATAAACCGATATCCCGCAACAATAACAAGTATAACATTTATATTGTATATATATATACAAATAATATATATGTACTGGAGCCATACCCCACAGCCACACCTTGACAGCACAGTTACCCAGTGGCAGACAACTCGTACATACATGATCATGTACACATTTCTGCGCTTCCAGACTGTGAGGCTGCAACACCCTGAGCAGCGACATCAAGCAATTTGCACTCTTGTGCGAGCAGAATGTTGAAGCACTTTGGAGGAGAGGTAATGGTGCGTTGGTCGACATGAGTCGACATGTTTTTACATCATCATCACATTACATATTAATGCAAGGAGCAAAGCATGGGCCGTAGTGCAAGGCAGAGAAGAGGCTTGGAGAGAAGGATTCCGACAAGATGAGTGCAGAAAGTTGCAATGTTCTCTTTCAGCACAAGCTACGAATGTTTTTGGAAGCCCGGTATTTTGAGCTTTTGCAGGGCTTGCAGGCAGCAGTTGGATTGGGAGTCTCTGCTAGTTTGACAGTGCTCCGCACTCCAAGGGAAGATGCTTCGTGCTAAGAACACGTGGCTTTGCTTTGCACTTCACACCGACACCGTGGAGCTGCGAAGACTTCCAGGTTGTTGCGCAAGTCTTTAAACTTTGGCCCACAACTAAGGTCATTCCAAGTGATCCTAATCCACTGGTTGAGGACAGCTGCGATTGTACATGAGTTTCACAGAGAATTGTTTTGCAGGAGCGAACCCTTGCTGAACGGTTGGCTGAAAGGCTTCGAGCCTCATCCTAAAGTGAAGTACAATGGAACCAAATCAGTGAGCTATCCTGCGTCCGTGTCTAGAAGCGAACTTGTAGCTAGCAGCTTACTCGCCTACTTAAAGCTAAAAAACATGTGCATCAATTTTGCAAATTAGAGCTCAGGCCAATGCGCATTGGATCACTCCAGAGGCCTTGAAATGTGTCTCAACCATGCACAAGTGTATCCACAGTAAAGCATATTGTAGGGTTGTTCCACGGAGAGTCGGCTTGGACGGTCGGAAAGGAACAAATGTATCCATTGTTATCCATTGTGTATTTATTGATTCTGTTTGTTTATATTATTGTATAATGTAACAATGTATATGTTCTATTCATCTATAAAGTATCTCTTTGTGCCTCTATCATCGCATCAGTGCACGCACGCTGCAACAACACCTGAAACACTTCTGACTGTGAAAGGGTGCCCGAAAGGGTGCTCGAATATTTCTGTTGGCCTGCTTCTACGGTAATACTATATAATCACTGTCCACGGTCTTTACCCACTTCCTTAAATTCACAGATGTATTCCTTTCTACCACTATGTCCTGCGCAAACACTGTTGTTTGTCCTATACAATTGATCTCGCTTCCTGCTGGGGCCAATGATTACCTACATTGCTGTCTATGTATATATATATATATCAAAAATTGTTTACTACAGTGCCTATCCACTCATCCACCCATCCATCTCAGATTCTATGTGTATATGCTTCCTATCACTTGTGAACAGTATTGAGTCGACTCGCTCAAGCAGCTTTTTGGGATCGAGAGTTTATGGTGCCTTGGTGGTTGCCCGATTTCCTCAGGGAAGTCCGGTATTTCACCAGTTCACCGGTTTCTTGCCCTTGATAAGCCATAGGCCTGTGCTTCATCCTCGCCTGCATTTGGTCCCTCATTGCTGGCTTCATTCTGGGCGCTCTATAGTCTTCTCGGTGTCGTGTCGTCGGGCTGTTCTTAGCCTCCTGCGTGTGGTGGCAGCTGCTGTGATTTCTCCCCATTTGCTGGTTCCAGAGACTGACAGAAGGGGCAGGCTTGCGCAGTATAGGCAGGGCAGTTGATACCGACACGCGTCCTCTGGCGTCGTCCCTGAGGGTTCACCGGGCTTTCTGGCGTGCGCAGCACAACATGCAGGGGTTTTAGCTGCTCCAGATTCTCCAGCAAGAGTTGGCACCTTCCAAGAACACCGTCTTCATTGCGTTCAGGGCTGGATCGACTAGTGAGTCTTGTTGGACTTCATCCTGCACTGCCTACGTGCAGGGTGCGAAACTGCTTGACGGCAGTTTCCGCACAGACAGCGTCAGTCATGTTTACGCCACTCGGGAGGCAGAGCAGCCACGGCTCAGCGAAGATGGCCGCCGCCACTGTAGGAGCGGCCCTCACCGAGGAGTCGGTGAGCAGTGGAAGCTGCCGCAGCTGCCAGAGCTCTCCCTTCAAGGTTCTTGGTTCTGGCAGAGGAGCTGGCAGATGGGGTGAATTTGATTTGCGGCTTTCTGGTATATGTACGGGCTGGCGGCTTTATGGTGGTTTTCCCTCCAGACGAAGTGATCAACCAATGTTTGGACAATCTCAGTTTAGAACATGGCTATCCAACTCCCTTGCTCCATGCTGGACAGGTGGCGGTCGAGACTACCCGGGGCCGCCGGGTAGGGGAAGCAGTTGTTCAGCTGGCAGACCTCAGTTGGGATTACGTGCAACATTCTGTTTCTCTGGGTCGCATCACTGCCGCTCAGCGGACCAAGATTTTGTCATTCAGCCTGAAGCCACAGAGGTAAGACCGGTCAAAGCATCAGTGCACGAGCTAGCCAACATATGGATAGAAAGCATGGATCCAGATACAGCCCAAGAATATGTGACAGGAGAAGAATTTGCAGATCCTGGAGAACCAGAACCAGGATCATCCATAGCGGAGGGTCAAGCTCCAGGGGTCCCCACGAGACTCACCAGAAGCTCCAAGCCCGAGTCGCAGAGCTCGAAGCGGCTTTGCTGCTGCAACGGCAGCCTCAACATGTTCCAGGATTGCCTCAAGTCGCTCCCACCCCCAAGGCCCCCAAGGCGCCACCGTTGTTCGGGGACTCCACCGCCCAGGGTGGGGACTGTCGAGAGACGTCGGCAGCAGTCACTGCAGAATCTCCCAGTTCCTCAAGATCATACTCTGTTGGACTTGGAACGAGAAGCCACGGAGCAAGAGCCGACCATGCCAGATCCAGTCGATGTTTTGGGCCAGAATGGAGATCCGCTCCACCGGTTGCTAGCTCTCCAGATGCAGCAAAACCAAGCTTTGCTGCAGAAGTTGGTAGGACAGAAAGTTTCAGACCCAGTTCTGGGCATCCTAAGCTCAGGAGGCGCGGACAGCGCATCAGGCAGTTCATCAACAGGTGTGAAAGGCTGTCTGGCTCGCGAAGCTTTCTTGCAATCGGTAGCCAAGTTGCCAGCCGTGGCAAATGCAACTCGAATGAATGCCTTGAGAGAACTGGGGATGGATCCTCAGAAAGAAGATGGATCATTGATTCGCAAGTACATGGAAAGAAGGATGGCGCTTGCCGACCATCGCCTGCTGACCTATTTCACTGCCATGATTGCCGAGAGTTGGTCAATCGGGTTCGAAACTGGGAATGTGGAGATGCTAGGGGTTCTGTCCCGGATGCTCTATTTTGTAGAACAATGCGCCATAGACGGCGGTCGGCCTCAGATGGGTTGGCTCCTTACAGGGTGACAAGTTCCAAGAGAATGCCCGGTCTTCAGCCGTATGCACGGTTATGCCACCCGGCTTGGGTGTCAGCCAACATCGCTTACCTCAAAGATATGGACTATCCAGAAAGCAGATTGTCAACTTTGGGGTTGCAGAAGACCAACAAGGTCAAGACCGGCGATGCAGATCAGGTACCAACGACTCAGCCAAAGAACAAGCGTCAGGGGAAGGGGTCCAATGCAGGCAGCATCAGTTTAGCTCCAAGAGTCGCTCATGTCGAGCAGCCCTTCGAACTGCCAGCGCAGAGTTTGAAGTCGTGTGATGACCCGGGTGCATTGGATTTAGTTGACGAGTTTTTCAAATCTAGTTTCAACATAGATCATGATGTTCCTGACCCTAGATCCAAACAAGTGTTTTCATGTGTTAATTTGATGCATTCTTTTTGCAAGAGCGCCGTTTCTGCGCCCACTGCTCTAGGCTCATTCATTCGGCAGAGTCTTAAGCTAGCCGACCATGCCTGCACCATGGAAAAGCCCAGCCGGGCTTTATGGCCTGTCCCCCCGGTGGAGTTGGACAGCTGCACGAAATCTGAATCCGCGCAGTCGTCATAGATTGCGCTACTTTGAGACTCGACATAAATTGCTTCAGGTTGTCATTTGTTCCATGAACTGGCAAGTGTTAGGCTATAAGTCGAGTCCACCCCTTTGTGCACAACTAGGTGCACCAATTCATCCCAACCAGCATTCGATTCTAGAACGAGTTGAAGCTATGTTGGACCATTTCCTTCACACGCCGAAGTTTGAAGGATCCGATTTGGGCCGCGGCGGCCGTGCTCAGGGGAAATTTTCAGATTTAATTAAGCGTTCACAGGAACTGCCTTGGTGTAAGCTGAGGACTGAGGACCCTCATCAATTAGCATCACGCATTCACAGTGACTTAGATCCGTACGGCAAAAACATATTGCCTTCAAACCAGCTATTGATGTTCAGCCCGAGTCGCATTGCTGTGAGCCCTTTGCTCAGCCGAACGCGCCGCCGCCCGGTGGTACAGGATCGCTGCCAGTGATCTCCAGCCGTGTGAAGTGGAAAAATCCGCTCAGCTTCCACGCCGAAGATTTCTTGTCAGACCCAGTTGTAAAGTCAACGTACGTTGAACCTGAAACTCTTCGTAAAGACCGTAACGCCCATGCATCCAGCCAGGGTCCGGTGTCCCAGGGTTGAACTTTTAGATTTAGCAGCCAGATGGGATGAACTTGGTGCTTGTATGCTGTTGCCACCTAGTGAAAAGGGTTTTGATGAAGCGGTAGGATTGTTCTGCGTGCCTAAAGACAAGGAGTTCGATAGGCTCATCATTAATCCTGTCACCATTAACAGTCGCATGCGCACCATCACCAAGTCCACTAAAGAGCTTGCCCCGGGGTGTGTGTTAGGTCTGCTTCATCTTGAAGATCACCAAGCTTTTAGGTTCTCAGCTGATGATTTGACCGATTACTAATACACGTTTGTTGTTTCAGCCGCCCGAGCCAAACGGAATGCATTGCGTGTGGTTTTTAAGTCTTCGGAAGTCAAAAATTTCAAGTGTTACCATCCTTCCTTTGAGGGTCAAGATCTTCTGATCTGTCTTAAAACCCTTGCAATGGGAGACAACATGGCAGTGGAGATTGCCCAACAAGCTCACTCGAATGTTTTAAAGTTTCTTTGTGGTGCTCTCAGGAGTGATGAGACGTTGAGATATCGAGTTGCTGTCCCTAGGACAGATTTTGTTGAGCTCCTGCCATCGATGACCATGTAGGGATTCAAAAGTGGCCTATTTCCCAGATCCGTGAAAAACCCCCTCTCAGGGATACGGAAGTGTTTGCGAAGGCTTCTAACTATGGCTTACAAGAAAGTCGGCTTGATCCAACAGGAAAAGAAGCAACGTAGGGATGAGACCTCTGGAATTATCCTCGGTGCTGATTTCGACGGTTTAGCTGGTCGGGTCATGCCTCCTCGAAGCCGTATTGCGTTGCTGTCCCTGGTGTCCATGGCAATTGTTCACAAAGGTACTTGCACCAATCGGCTACTTTCTATGGTGGTGGGTTGTTGGATCCACGTTTTGCTTTTTAGGCGACCCCTTGTTGCCATCATGAGCAGTGTCTTCAACGAGGGGAAGGGTAGATCACAAGATGAAGTGTTTTGCCTGAGGCGACAAACTTTGTGCGAGCTCCAACTGTTGGCATCCTTGGGCTGTATGGCTCAGAGCGACATGCGAGCAAGACATGATCCAAAGGTGTACTGCACTGACGCTTCGCCAGCCGGCGGGGCAGTTTGCTATGCTTATCTGGGCGGTCATGCGTCTAAAGAATTTTGGCGGCGCACTGAGCAACGTGGGTTTTACACTAAGCTTTTGAACCCTGCTTCTGCAACTCTCGTTGAACACGGCATTGAAGAACTTGGCTCCCAAGCTTTTCTTTCAGAACCCATTAAGCCTTCATCCAGCTGTGTTCCCACTTCTTTTAAATACCCGCCGCCGCTCGCTGAAGGATTTGTTTTTGACTGTTGTGAAATTTTCGAGGTAGCGGAAACTGGTCCACAGCACACAGTGAAGTAGGTTTGCAGTGCCACGACGGCGTCGATTTTGATGCCCGCCGTCTGCGTTGTTCTGACCTGCAAGCTGATGCCGTCGTTCGCGAGCTAATCAGCCTGGCATGCAGAGGAGTTGTTCGCAAGTGGCACGCTGGAGTGCCTTATTTGAGTTATGGCACTTTCCGCCGACCTCAGGTGAGATCAAATGAGTTTCCGTACGGGTTCAACCCAGAAGACCCATTCACCAAATATCACAACAAGTTAGCGCAACGTACTTGCTTCATTCTCATGATTGCAGTGTTTTCAGGATCTTATATCAGCGTGGAGCAGCCGCGCGACAGCCGATTGTTTCGTCTGCACTGCTATCGACAATTGCTGCGCCTCGGTTGTGTGATATCTCACTTTTCGTTTTGCAGCTTTGGAAGTGCTTTCCACAAGCACAAGCCATCAAAGTGGCTGCGCAACAAACCCTGGCTGATAAACCTAGAATCTGAATGCGCTTGCAGGCATAAAGGTGGACATTTCAAAACTGAGGGGTTATTCACTCTTGAAGGCATCTTAGCTTTCGAAGAACGCTGCCAACCATCCGCAGCCGCTGTGTATACTGAGCCGCCAGAGGTGGGTCAATCTGTGGCTGCGTACTCGGCCGCCTATCCACTGCCTCTGGTCCGAGGTCTGGCTTTGGGTTCCTTGGCAGCCCAAAACGGGTGCGTTGGAATCATTCCCAGCGAAGTTCGAGCGCGCAGTTTTGCTGAGGTGGATGAACCGGCGGATAATTATGCCCACTTTTTTTGCCCGCAGAGCCTGCAAAATCTCGAGAATGGTTTGAAGATCCAGAGTGGGTCAGTGAAGTCATTGAATTTCGACAGCTGTTCCGATTCAAATTTAAATCACCTGGTCACATCAATGTTACTGAGACCCGAACCTTTAAATCCTGGATCAAATCTATGGCTAAGAGTAGTCCTGATACCAGATTTGTTCGGTTTTTGGATACCCGGGTAACCATCGGTGCCGCTGCTAAGGGCAGATCTAGCAGTTTTGCCATCAGCCGAGTGCTCCAGGGCACCCTACCCTACATCATTGGAGGAGGCTTGTTTCCTGGGTGTTTGCATTGCTATGCGCCGACAACCGTGCAGATGATCCATCGAGGGATCGTCCAGTTCAAGCCCCAACCAAAGAGTTGCCTGAGTGGCTCTGCAGATTGCAGGGTGGGGACAGCAGCCTTTTTGACTTGGTTGTTGAATCCAGCCGCGCCCCAAAGCTTTGCGGCCGATGGTTAAGATTTTTGCTGCTGCTTGGAGGTGACATTGAACGCAATCCTGGACCGAGAGGAGACCGAGTTCCTCGAGGCCCTCTGGACTTGACCACTGGCTTTGCTGCTGTGACTGTAGATAGGATGAAGCGCTGTGTTGATGGATTCCAAGCTTGGGTTGAAGAAGAAGCTCAGCTGACTTGGTCAAGCCTTGTCAAAGATCCTCATGCAACCTGTCTGGCGTTACGTGGGTATTGGTTACACTGTTTTGAAGCTGGCTTGCCAAGATATCTTTTCGTCTACGCACTTACCGGGATTCAGGAGCTATATCCACTATGTAGGCAGTTTATGTCATTAGCTTGGCAGATTGACAGAAAGTGGCAGATTCACGAGCCAGGGACGCGCCGACCGGTACTTCCACCGGTCGTCATCAGAGCTTCAATCACCTTGGCTTTGCTGTGGCAATGGCCAGCTTGGGCTGCAATAGTCTTTTTAGGCTTTGGTGCCATGCTGCATCCTTCTGAAATGATGGCGCTTCAGCGGAGAGATTTGATTTTTCCATCTGACGTTTGTTTTGATAGCGCAAGTCTGTTTATAAAGATTCGCGAGCCAAAGACAGCTCCATTTGCTCGCAGACTCGCAGACAACACGGTCATTGAGGGAGCGCAGAGAGTTTTTGGTTCATTAGAAGCGGACAACAAATTGTTTCCTGGATCTATCAATACTTTCCGCAAACAATGGAACTCAATCATGCAATCTCTTGGTGTGCCACATTCACAGCTTCAACAAGGCGCAACACCTGGAGTTCTCCGGGGCTCCGGAGCAACCTATACCTCTACACCACATCGGAGGACGTGAGCTGGGTTGCCTGGCGCGGTCGTTGGTCGCGTGTGCGTACGTTAGAATACTACCTCCAAGAGGTGGGTGCTTTTGTGCTCACCCATAGTCTCAAGCCTTTGGCCAAAGCAAAAGTTTTTGAGCTTTCCAAGTTTTCCTGGCCTGTCATCCGTCAGACATTTGACCTTACGGGGTAGCGTTGGATAGTTGGAGTGATTCTTTGTTGATTGCAAAGCTGCTTTAGATTCAGTGGA